GGGGGGGAGAACAGAAGTGTTTCAAAGATGTAAAAGAGGCAGATACAAATTCAGAGAAAAGGTAAGTTGAGTACTGTGAAGGTGGTCGAATATGTCATACAGTGGGGTCATGGTAGTTTGAAGTCAGTAGTCAACTTCTGGTCAATAGACTTTTTGGCCAGGGTGTACCACGTGGAGGTAAATCTATCGCACACCACACTGCATTAATAATAATTTGTTTTAAAGGGAAATTTCAAATATTTTTATTGCAACATAACTAATGATATTATTATTTTATTAAGTAATTTGCCTCTTCAATGAACGGTAATGATTCATTCATGAATATAAAATTAATCGTTGTTATCGATATAATTTCGAAATATTTCATAATAGATATGCCAAATTAATTATTGTTTGACGGATTGCAAGTATTCCATCTGAAATTTGTTTTATTTTCCCACATCTTGGAATAATATTTTACATAAATTTTTGATGATCATCACCAATTTTAATCATAAGTTAGAGTCAACGTTGTGAATTCTATAATTGAATAACTTTATTATTGATTTTATCAGCTGTCTGCAGATAATCAGTCGATTCTTTTCTACTCGGGTCTTTGAACCATATCAAGAATAAAGACATTATGGTAAGCATAGCCACATGTACTATTTAAAATATTTTTGATTCAAAATTGCATATATATGGTCCTCTGTTACCTTCGCCAGCGTGAGATAATAAGTATTCACGTCGGACAAGGTGGGGTGCAGATGGGAAATGCGTGTTGGGAACTCTACTGTCTTGAGCACGGCATTCGACCAGATGGGCAAGTACCCGATGCTGGTGTCATTGGCTCATTCGAAGATTCCTTCAGCACTTTCTTTAGCGAAACAGGTAAAGGAAGATATGTTCCAAGAGCTCTTATGATCGATTTGGAACCCACTGTTGTTGGTAAGAACAATGTTACCGAATGCTGAATGAAATTCAACTAAATTTAGATGAAATTCGAACAGGGGCTTATCGTCAGTTATTTCATCCCAGTCAGTTGATTACTGGTAAAGAAGATGCCGCTAATAACTATGCTCGAGGATATTACACAATTGGCAAGGGTATAATTGACTTAATTCTGGATCAAATAAGGAAATTAACTGATACCTGTGATGGACTTCAAGGATTTCTGGTCTTCCATTCTTTTGGTGGTGGTACCGGATCAGGATTAACATCCCTGTTGATGGAAAAGCTCAGCTTATGTTATGGAAATAAAGCAAAGCTGGAATTTGCAATTTACCCAGCTCCTCAAATTTCAACCGCTGTTGTTGAACCCTACAACTCTATCCTCTGTACGCACACGACTCTAGAACATTCTGATTGTTCGTTTATGGTTGATAATGAGGCTATTTATGATATCTGCAGGTAGATATTGCTTAAAAGTTTAATGACTGTCTTCTAGAAGGAATTTAGATATTGATCGTCCAACTTACACTAACCTTAATAGACTTGTGGCTCAGGTGGTCAGCTCCATAACCGCTTCTCTGCGATTCGATGGAGCTTTGAATGTTGACCTCAATGAATTTCAAACAAATTTGGTCCCCTATCCGAGGATTCACTTTCCACTGGTCTCCTATGCTCCCATAATATCGCCGGACAAGGCCTATCATGAACAATTAACAGCAACTGAGATTACAAACGCCTGCTTTGAACCGGCTAACCAGATGGTGAAATGCGATCCACGATATGGGAAATATATGGCCTGTTGCCTACTCTACCGTGGTGATGTTATTCCCAAGGATGCAAACGCTGCAATTGCATTTATCAAGGCGCAAAGGACAGTTCAGTTTGTTGACTGGTGTCCGACGGGATTTAAGATTGGAATCAACTTCCAACCGCCGACTTCAGTTCCAGGTGGCGATCTTGCCAAATTTCAAAGGGCAGTATGCATGCTGAGCAACACGACAGCTATTGCTAAACCTTTGACTCGGTTGGATCACAAATTTCTTCTGATGTATGCCAAGAGAGCGTTCGTGCATTGGTTCGTTGGAGAAGGTATGGAAGAGGGCGAATTTGCCGAGGCAAAAGAGAACGTATCAGCCTTGCTAAGGGATTATGAGGAAGTTGGCATGAATAGTATTGTAGAGGAATGCGATGAGTCGGAATTTTAGATGTGCCTTTCTTCTAAATCGGTTTATACTATTTTGTAGTTATTTTAATAAAAAGTTTGTTGCTATGCAAATTGTGGCCTTGAAACCGAAATTAATGAGCAATAATGCGGAATTGAGAAATTCAATTCTTTTGACTCCATGAATATTAAACCTTCAACAGTCCCCTTTCAAAATAAGCTCCATTGGTACTAGACTCGTAACAGAATCGACACTAGTGCCGTTTAAAACACGATCAATGCGTATCTCTATAGCCCTCGCTGGATACCTCACCAAAACTCACCACGTCGGTGACATCATTCCGCTGTGGGACACACGTGAGTGCGATTGGGTGCACATTTAAAAAAAATAATTCGGGCGTTAAAGAGTTAATATGCATTAAATTTGCCAAATTATTTGACTTAATCACAATTGAAAGTGCAAGAGGGAAATTGATTTGAAGTTCGTGATTTGAGTATCATAGTACTGATGTTAAGATGAGATTTTAGTCATAGCATAATTATTAATGCCCAATACAAGCCAATGCGTCAACTTTAATCATGTGAAATCATCTGAGCATAGAAACAGTAGCTTAACCCAATCAATTGCTTACTTGATCTTGATACAATTGTTGGCTAAAAAAAGCATATCTATTTTATTGGGTAATGATTCCTTCTACAGCATTCAGAGTTGATTTAACTGTTAATATTAAAATAGTGGTATTGCCAACATTTGCGCATGGCCAATAAGTTTACTCGGTCCAATGATTGCATCGTGGTATATGAACTAGGTCAAACTCAGTCAATGCAGAACTCAAATACGATGGCTATTGGGTAATCGTGGGACTCATAAACTCGTGCATGCCTCTTGCCGTATGCCCGATCCCAATTGTAGGATAATGATTTTGCTCTTTTGACTCCAAATGCTCGTTTAAGTGGATTTCCACCGCAGTTGCACATCGAAATCGTTTTCTGTATCAGTCCAATCAAGTTCAACCTCCATTCTTCTTGTCTTGGAGATGCTAGGTATACTATTAGCTTTAAGTTCCATCTGGCTCAAGTGAGGTATTTCTAATCACAACCCTATCTAGAGCATAATTGTGCCTTTTCACTGAAATTATTGCTAATTTACGCATTTATCCATTTCAATAGCCAAATGGTAGCTAACTATTCCTGGATGTGTTATATTTATTTAAGAGTAAAGTACTCATAAATCCTGATAATTACTTATTTGATTTGGATCCATGATTCGAATCTGCTTCTTGGTCGAATACTTTAACTTCAATACTCATCCACCAATCCCTTTCGTCTATCATCAATTAGCCAAAAGTAATAATGAAACACATTTCAACAAACGTAACGAAGTAACGCTGTCAGTACGATTGGCGCTCTCTCCCTGTGGATGCTAAGACGAAGATGCTGTTGAAATAGTCAATTTATCGAGTTGAACCCCAGGAACTTGACGGGCCTAAGATTAGAATGTTATTCAGATGGTTTTGAGGTAATAAAAATATCATAATAGCAGCTATGTACTAATCCTGTTTCACACTTTAATTCTACAATTACTTTAAATGTTGTGTAATTTTGCTTTGATCAGGATTTTTTCAGTTTCAAATCCAGTGAATATTATACCGTATTCAATCGAGTGATTCATTGGAAAGACCTCCATTCCATTTAAGGCACAATGGTCAGCCAGTTGTGATCATTTACACAGTAAGGAACTGTGATGTCAAGGGGGTGTGCGATAGACTTACCTCCACGTGGTGCACCCTGGGCAACGTATACTCATACGGCAAAAAAGTCTATTAACCAGCAGTTGACTTCTGACTTCAAACTGTCATGACCCCACTGTATGTCATATTCGACTACTTTCACAGTACTCACCTCACCTTTTTTCTACTATTGTGTCTGTCTCTTTTACATCTTTGAATCACTCTTCTGTTCCCCCCCCCCGCCCTCTCGACTTTTTCACTTTGATGTTCCTTCTCCTCTGTGAAGTCTGAAGTCAACTAAAGGGCTAATGATAACCATCAAAACGCCTGCCATTTGATATAAACTGTGGTGTCAATTCGTACAAATGTTGTCAGTAAGTACTTTCCCATTGGCACTCCTCTATTCCGTCAGTTACAGTCACGCAACAGAAATACAATTATTGAAAAGCACCAATACGAGGCATGCTCCTGTGGAACCTCAAATAGTAACTAGTGTAGCTTGAGTATACCGTGTCTAATTAAAAAAAATACATCCATATTGCCTTGAACCGCATTAACAACAAGGGGTGTGCGATAGACTTACCTCCACGTGGTGCACCATGGGCAACGTATACTTATACGGCAAAAGTCTATTAACTGACAGTTGACTTCTGGCTTCAAACTACCATCACCCCACTATATGTCATATTTGACTACTTTCACATTACTCACCTCACCTTTCTTCTACCTTTGTGTCTGTCTCTTTTACATCTATGAAACGCTTTTCTATTCCTTCCCCGCCCCCTCTCCAATTTTTTTCAATTTGATATTTCTTCTCCTCTGTGAGGCCTGAAGTCAAGTAAAGGGCTAACGATGACCATCAAAACACTTGCCATTCGATGTAAATAACATTAACAACAATGAAGTTAGGACGCCAAACCGGAACGAGATATAAGTGACGTGGGACCACCTACATACGCTGATTCATACCTCTGCCCTAAATATCACATTCTCAAGGAAAGGAAAGTCTGTCAACAGCCAGTCGTACCTCATTTCATCCGTTCCCCACCACCTCGCTCATTACTGACGCCTTCAACCCCCNCCCCCCCCCCCCCCCCCCCCCCCCTCCATCCAAATTCACATACAACTTCTTTCTCCCGCCCACTCATTCTTAATTGTCCAGCATATATTTGAAATTTTCTCATGGTTGGAAAGGCTGCTGTATCCTGCCCACCTTGGGAAAGATAATTAATGTTCTATAATGGGATTTCCAAGCCCAATTAAAAAGTACCGACTTATTGTCCGTTGCTTATTCTCCCGCATTTAATTCTCCAAGTCAGCGGTCAAGCTACAAAAGCAATCCAAATGCTTAATTAGCTTTATTATTTTCTCAACATGTTCCCATAGAGTCTAAGCACTCCTGGGATAAGGTTTTAAACGTTAGAAACAAGGGAACAAATAATTTAATCGAAAAAATGAGGTCACTTATTTAATTAGCTTTCAATACGTACACAAGAGAGACACACACAACAAAGGGTGAAATTGAGAGAATATTCACGAGGAAACAAAAAAAAGACAAGGGGATCAGGATGGAAAAGAACTGTAACGAGAAGGTGCAGGAGAGAGAGATGGACCGTTATGTGGGTTATGAAGTAATGAGAAAGAGAGGTGGCAAAGCTGGGAACAGGAAGAAGAATGTATAATGGATACACGCCGAGAACGAGATCCAGGTTTCTGTATTCGATATCCTCATTTAATCTATCTTGACAGTTGAGTATATGGCCCGTACAAACCGATTTGCTGAGAGGTAGCCGATCGCTCCTGAAAGAAGTAATCCCATCATTAGTCGTACGCAATTAAGTACGTTGCACTAAAGTGTTGGACGTAGGCTGAACTAGGAACCTTGCCAGCCAATACAGAAGCACTTGAAAGCAAGCCAATGAAGATTCAACCCCAATCCCGTGCTGCTTGAGACAGGATAGTGACTTAAAGGTTTCTCACTCTCATACCCTCAATGTTTTCTTAGCATTCGTTCAGAACAGAAGCCATTCGGAAGAGAAATACAGACTATTACTCCTCTTGTGACCGGTAAAATTGGTCGCGAATTAAACAGGTGACAACGCGTCACAAACTCTTTGCAGCCCTCATTATGGATGGTGAGATCGCATCGTAAACTTCCTCCGATTGGAGACTAATACGCTAATCAACCTCTCTTGACCAGATTGGGATAATCAAAATGGTGATACCGTTCAAAAGATATGTGCATCGATGAGTATCGAAGGCTTGATATTTGAATATTGATCGTTACGTTATCCATGTACAATCCTTCATCTAATAATCTGTTCTGAACTCATGGGAAAATACTTACTAATATTCAAGATAGACGATGGAAAAGAATACTGAAATCTCACTGTGAGAAAGCCATATCAAAGCATTATAAAACCACTTAATATGCACAGATGGATTTCCACAACATGACCTCAAAATTGTCAAAGGAAACATCATCTAGCCGCTTACCGCACATGCAACCCAGGGCGAAACAGAAGAAGGCCATATAGCTGAAGTAGAAAGCTGTCTGGAAAAGACCAAACATTCTAAAAAAGGGAAAATTTGAAATTGTTAATAGGGAATAGTAAACTACTTAAATGAATCCAACAACAAGAGTCGTGGTAACTTACTTGGTTTTGAAGAGGAAATAGTAAATGGAATAGATGTACACATAAACAGCAGTTGACGCTCCAGAGAAAAAGCTAATCCACTGCCAACGATAGTCCTCAGCATTCAGCAGGAAATAGGTGCAAACAACAGTAGAACAGCCGGTCACTATAATCAGAATGAAGATCACCAGCAGGGTAAATCCAAACACATAGTACACCTTGTATGCCCAGAATGACGTAAAGATAAAGTACCTAAAAACGATGAATTTATGTACTACTTAGAAATTTATTAGATAGTAGCAATATTGGGAGCGCACATTTCGATGAAGATAGAGCCGAATGGAAGCACACCACCGATAAGGGAGATTATCAGAGGCTTAGTGTACCACTTAACGGCTGGAATGGGACGTGGAACTGCATTCACTCTGCAGGGACTAGCAGATGACCCACCAGCAGCCCCTAGTGCACTTGGCCGGCCAATATTGCGCCCTACAACCGTTCCGATCAAATTAAGGGGTATGATAACAAAAGCGATGATTGAAAACACAGATAGCACAGTGAGGAAGGGCAGCACACGGGAGGTTTGATAGAAGAGGGCTAGAGTATTTACAACGAGTGCAATTGCAGTTAGTAGTGCGGGCACAAGAAGGCTGCCCAAGAAGTGTTGACGAATCCAATTCTTTCCTGTAAATAAAAGTTCAACAAATTAGAAAAATCAACCACAACTACTTATATAAGTTAAGTAGACACCTCACCCCCAAGAGAGCAATAAGTGCGACCACCAACGAATCCATTCAAAGGTGATAAGAGGGCGTAGACAAAGATTATAGTTGAAAGAATAGCACCACGTTCTATGTACAGTTTACCTATTAGGGCAAGAACTGTGACAACTATTGACACCACAGTGATATGTACGCCGTTGCCAATGAGACAGGAGAGGTAGAGTGAGCCGGCAGGACTGCGAAAAACATCTCCGTGCACCTGTTTCCAACCATATTCGTCGCCCAATTCGCGTTCCTATGACGAAAAAAGATGAAATGTGCAGTCATAAATTGAAGGATGTCCACTTAAATGCTTCGATTAATAAGTTTCTCTCCTGTTCAACTGTGGATCAGCTAAAAGGCTCTTGTTAACGACACCAACCACAAACGTTCGTTTCTCGCTAATTTTCCTTGTTCTTCATTTTCGTCTTCCTCGATCTATATTTGTATACCTGCGGTCCTAGATATCGTGAATTGGAAACAAAGATAACTTATTGTTACTCACTGGTTGTACTTAAGCACCTTTTGACCACATACAACATTAAAGAAATTTAGCCAACTATGATATACGTCATGTAAATAAAGTCTGTGCAAATCAATCCCAAAGAGTCTCTAGTTAGAGTTCAGTCTAAATTTGGCACACATTAAGGACAGCCAGGGTTCCATTTCGTAGAGCCCAGTACTGCTTCCCTACATTCACCGACACTTGGATTTCCAACATCTAAATTGAGAGATCCCCCCCTTGTTTGAGCACTCAACTTCCTCTTTTTAAACATTTCCGTTCCCAATCACATTTCGTACTACCACATCTGAGATTTCCCGCGTTAATTGGATGATTCCCGTTGCAACTATGAGCACTGACTCACCAAGTCTTCAAGACCATCCACGCGGTTATATCGAGCGTAGTCCTTACGAAGTGTTCTTATTAGAATCATCGAGACCAGCAAGACGAGGAAGATTACCATCATGAAGGAATTGAAGATAGAGAACCAGTGAATCTGAACAGGTGGAAAGAAAACACACACAAGTACACACATTTCTTTAGGAGCCGTTGAGAGAATAAGGCAATAAGTGAAAGCAAACTCACCCTGTGTACATAGAAGCCAGTGTCCAGATAGACATCAGAGCGTTTATCGAAGGGCAGAGTGGATTCAGTCCACACAACCTGAAAAGGGACGTTGTAAGATGCAGATTAAATCTGACTGCAAGTAAATGCTATAATTAATAGATTACCGTTCGGATTACACTCATTACCTAGATCATGACAGGCGCCAATAGCGTTCATGATTAGACTAGCTGTTAGTACAAATTGAATTACAAACATTTCAGAGGTGATTAGGTCGGATGGTATCAAACTGTTTCAACAATCATGGGATAATGTCGTATTTCCATGATAACTTGATAAGTGATTGTTTGGCACACAAAATGGACAGAGAACGACAAGGAAATCGGTAATTAATGCAACATTGAAATTGATATGTGAACATTCTATCAACCCCCCCCCCTCCCGCCTATTTCCGCTTTCAGAGCCCAAAAAAAATAAAATGTGGTTCCACTATCCAAAATTACAAACTATGTCTCCATCGACATAACGACATCGAGGCAAACATAGAACCTAGGCTGCCACTGAAATGCATTAATAGATCTGTGAGTTTCAGGTAAACGTTTTTTTTATTATTTTGATTAGATGGATCTAAATGGATAAGCGGATAATGAAAATTAAGCCTTGAAACACTTGGGTAATAATAACAGTATATACCGACGTTATTGCTCTTGCAACCATGAATTCACTTCATCTTGGGAGAAGGAATCAGCTTAACTCGCTTAAATCAAGACTCCTAAAGACCCAATGAGGCACAGCCAAGTATATATGGCCAAATAACTTGATACCTCTTAACAAGGAGAGGATAACCACTACGTCTGACAGTGTGCACCAAATGCTGTTACCATAGGATTTTCTACTAACTAGGTCATTATTTACAAAATTTGAGGCATCAATTAGTCCATGCCACTTTTGAGTATATGATTGAAAATGCTCATCAATATTTCATGTTAAAGTTCTTTCACTCCCAAGACAGAAAACAGACAAAATAGACGATTGACCTCACAAAAGACAGGGAGCTTCAAACAACCGCAATCAGGAAAGTAAAGGAAAATTTCACGACACAAAGATATTAATAGAACTTAAGTTTAGGAAAAAATTATGACAACCGTGGCACATACTTCATAAGTGAAAATTATTTTAGCCCCAGGAGTGACTTGAACAGGATCCGAAGTGCCAAGTGAGACTCCAACAATCTGATCGTGATTATAGAAAATTTCAATTTTTTTGTGAGTCCAGAGCATGGGAACATCATCGCGGATTTCGCCAACAACTCCCACTATTGAGAGAGCATCCAAGTACATTTGGTACCAATAGCGCTCGTAAATGGCTAAAATCAGCCTGTCTGACTCCGCTTCGGATAGGCGTTTGCGACAAAATTCCGTCTTGACAACGTTTCCTAAAGGCAAGAATGAGATGAAGGAGGATTAGGTGTAGTTTAGGTTTATCCACCATGCAAAATAAAAGATACCAATTAAGTAATTTAGCTTCAACTTATTAAATTAGCGATTGAATCCAACTCATCAGTCTGTTTAAGTTAAGCCCTTGTGATAGAATCCAATTCATACAGCAATTCACAAGAGTAGGAGAGACAGAAACAGTTACCATAATTGAGACCCAAAAAAAGTAACGCCAGGTTTTCATTGATCATTAAAGTAGTCAATAAAATGAACTCGATTGCTAGCAAATAGGATGGCTGAGTTCAGTTCATCAATCTCGTCTTATATTAACCGTCTATAATGGAATTCGGAGTGAACAACGCTTCGTGGGGAGGGAAAAATCAATATCAGTCGTGATCGGGACCCCTCTACAAGTCACAAATTAAACTACTTAAAAACAAATAAGTAGATGATTATAATAATGATTAATAAAAAAACAAAAATAGTGAATGAGTTAACCTTTGGAAACAATACGGTTAAAGCTAGAGAAACCGTATTTACTACGTAGAAGTAACGAAATATTGAAAAATTCAAACAGTGAACCAGTGGTAACCAGGTAGGAGTTCACGAGATTGAAGCATATTGACGGAAGCGCATACCTAATTATAGTGTGGAATTCCTCAGAATGCTTTTCCTATACCTAGGCGTACAGTGGAACTGAGCTTATAAATAACAGCAAAATAGAAATTGCCTTGTAAAAGAAAAAAAGATGAATAAGAAGTAATCATGTTGGACTAAATAATAACCTCGATGAAGAGTAACAACTATATACAGAAAATGACGTTGTCACAACCCATTAATCAAGCCGCCCGCTGTTTTAGATGCACCAATATGTATTGAAAACTTAACCCTGACTTCACAAAAGCTCACATCATCACCACTGGTTTATACCTGATAATAATTCCAAATGCCAATAAAAAAGCGTTTTCGAGCCTCCATTTACGATTAGGGGGTGCACTATTGAGCACCCAAGATGAGAAACTCGAAGACTAACAGCTACCTTTGCTACTCAGACTTAGTGCGATTGGCCGTTCGACTCACTGGGTGTGCCCCGATAGGTATTGAACTCATGACCTCTAATTCTGCATACGAACCCGTTAACCACTACGATAACAGCGCACTTGATAATCACTGCTAAATCTGAAGAGAATATTTGAAATTAAATTATGTTAACAATAATTATGCAAGTGTATATTGAATGTGGTTGATTTAGCAGCTTCATGAATTTTAAAGAACTGTAGTGTCGTGTCCCCAACACGTTTGCATAACCCTAAATGTGCCACGGAGTTGGCTGAGGTTAGCATCTAACTCGTATAAGGGCTTAATGAACTCAGCATGTAATGAAAGGATGACTAAATTTTATAATCCCACTCCACACCAAACAAAAAAACTTTAGGTGCCTCAAAGGCCCTTCAAAAAGACAGTAAAACTTGGCCAAACAAAGAGCAAGGAAAGTGATGAATTGCGTAAACAATGCGCAACGACAAAAGTAAATTCTGGTAAAAAACAGCAGTGCTAGAAAACACGTTACTCATTAGAGCAGCACCATCTAAGAAGATACCTCCTGACTACCCTAGTCAAATGAAATTAATACGACTATAAGTAGGAATAGGGCTTCAAGGTCGCATTGAAGGCACTAGACAATCTAGAAAAATCGGAGTTAAGATGAAGTAAGACTTCCTGGTTCTGTAAAGCATTGCTTAAGAGCAGAAAGTTGTAGATATTTTTCCTTAATGGCCTGTACTGTTAAAAAGAAAAAAATTAACCGTTTCATTTGGCAAGATAATAAGAGGAGACTGCTATCGAAATAATGGCTTATCTCACATTTATTCATCACAAACAAAGATGGATTCGCTCGAAAAGCGCTTCTTCTAGACATAAAACAGTTAGTTAGGTCCCTTGTGCAATAAAGAAGTGCATAATATATATTTAAGCCCGGGGTATGTGATAGACTTACCTCCACGTGGTGCACCCTGGGCAACGTATACTCATACGGCAAAAAAGTCTATTACCTGGCAGTTGACTTCAAACTATCATGATCCCACTGTATGTCATATTCGACTACTTTCACAGTACTCATCTCACCTTTTCTCCACCTTATCTACCTTCGTCTTTGATACACTCTTCTGTTCCCCCCCCCCTCTCTTGAATTTTTTACACTTTGATGTTCCTTCCCCTCTGTGAAGACTGAAGTCAACAAAAGGGCAAGTGATAACAATCAAAATGCCTGCCATTTGATATAATAATAATAATATTTAAGCCCATTCAATCGAGTATAAACGATGGATAATTGAGGATTAAGGCAACATTCAAGTTTAATTGTGACATCGTTAAGGTATGAATCTGCAAATTACCGAAAAAAATCTCTTACAGGCTAATGGAAATGTTGAAGCTTATAAAAAAACTATATTTGAACAAAAATATGATTGAATAGATACAAAATATAATTGAAACGTAGACGAAATCGGCTAAGAAGAGGGATTAAGGACACCAGAATGCGTCATCGATGAAGCAGAAGTCCGAATTTGTCACCTCAAAGGTGACAAGTTTGGGAAATGTTTCAAAAATCGCTAATGAATACTGAATAAGAGCAGAGGGTATTCCAACTAACAATAGAAGGAACTTAAAAATGAATGCTATAATAACTTTTATTCAATTATGAATGGTCTGGACGACGGTATCAAAATATTAGTATGTTCGCATGATTCATAACGGTCGGATATTTGACTAATACGAAACTAAAAACTACAATGCATCTAGAGAACATTTTTCATCATAAACAAAGTCAAATGAATCAAATGAAAGTATCGTTGTAAATCCAGAAAAATTCATACCATCAAATAACCTAAACGTACTTTTAAATCGAATGTCAAGGCCACTGAATTGGAGTTCAATCCCTTGAAGTTTTTCTGCTAAAGTCTCATGATAATGTTCCACGTTTTCAACCGGACCTCTGCAGAATGGGAGGTTGAAGTAAGCATAAGTTTCCTGTAGATTGTGATAGGGACCAACAGTATTCATCCATAATACAATCTGCTCCCCATCAGCATACTAAAACAGAAATGGCTCAATAGGTTTGCATGGTTATCTATTTTTGAGTCTAATAAGATTAAAGTTTTAAGAAATATTATAAAACTTGAATAATGTTTAAAACATCTTGCTATTACATTTTATAACCAAGAATATACTCATTTAATCAATATGATTGCACAAAATTGTACTTGAAAATTAAAGTTGATGATAAAATATCTTTAGAAGAAAATACAAATACAAATATTAAGTTTCTTACCTTATGATCGTGCTCATCTGCAAAAGTTGTGGCTAACAAAATATTAATAAATAACACTGCGAAAAAATTATTCCGACCCAGCATCTTTCTGCACAACAACTGACAACACTAAAAACACTGGTTAGTGGTTGGTTCATGAGCAAATTGTTTACGAAACGTCAACAGCGAGCAATGTAATTCAAGTAATTACATTAATTTATTAAAGTCCATTAATTTTATTTATATAATTTATTTTACTTTATTTATACAACTTAAACCTTCGGATTTATAATATTTTCAATTTCTTAATAATTATCAGAAAATTATTCACCCTGCTTTTGCTTACGTTTAACAAAAAGTTAAATAGCAAAATGGTAATAAATAGCGAAGATAAGCAAGTGAAATAAATATCATCGAAATCATTTCCAATGCCTTTAATTTATAAGTCGGGGTGTTCTCGTTATTCAGAATTATTACAAGCATATTTTATCTGCAAAATTTTCCCTTTAATGATCGGAAAGCTTATTACTGCATGAAATAATCGTACTTTTAAACAAAATCAACAATATTTTGTTTGTACTTCCCTATAAACTATAGATCGATTATGACTTTTGAATATTAAATGTGAATTTCCACTCTTTTGCTGATTGATGAAGAGGTTTCTCGACCTTTGTAGGTGAACTTGAAGTAGGGAAGAATTCGAAGAATTTATTGTTAAACTCTGGATTATGTTAATCACGAGTGGCGCGAAACTAAGTTTCGTTTGGCTTAAATAATTTAACAATTTTTAAACATCGAATGAGAAAATTACTAAAATATTTCAAACTGTAAAAATTATGAAATTATAATTCAGCTAGCATTATGATTATGTGATAAAGAATCTTTTACTAACAAGTATTACATACGAAATCGTTTATTCTAAAATGTGAATTGAACCACATTATTTGAAAAAATGCTTGCGAAAATATTTACAGCCCCACTCTACAAATGACAAAGATCATATTTGCGGAACATTTGGAGTTGGGAAATTTTTATTTACTTCGTAAACTGTCCTCTAAATTTGGTAATTTAAGAGGAAGCATTCACTGAGTAGAAAAGAGAATACCTGTTGTTTGAGATTTACACTCTGTTAATAGATTTAGAATGTGGCTACGGTCAAGGTGGTAACAATTGAAAGGAAAAGGGCACATGGTCCTTTCTTAGCAAAGGAGCCAATTGAGCCAAAGTATCTGAAATGTTGAAAGATCCTACTCTAATTTAAATTTGGTTTTGATTTGGATTTTCATGGGGCGCATATGGGTTATCATTGTTATAATTTAAATTCGCTTTTTTTGGGGGCTGCTTATTATTAATCCAAACCGTTCTCACCCCCTCCCCCCCCCCTTCCACGTCCAATGATCAAATGGCAATTTTATCCAATTATATGACGGACGTCATATCCTGCTATTACCATACCATAAGGTTATTAGGATTTGCAACATTTAATTTAAAACATTATAGATAATTGTTAAATAAACTTTTTTCGGACACAGATGCCTTCATGAAATTTTTTGTTGGGTAATTTTGGGATAAGTAGACATAATTGATTACTTTGGTGGTTTTGGTAGTTATTGTGTTTACTACACACTATCATAACGTAAGCAACTTGTTCTGTTATACAATTTTCTCTAATCAAAAGCACACTCATCACACCAATTAAGACCAGATCTTGAAATGGGTATTGTATTATCGACTAAAAGGTCAACAGCTCTCAAAGCTTTTTTCTTATTTCAATCTTTTATATATAGTTTAACCGCTTGAATGATAAATTTTTGCTTCAATACAATGTATCGTAATAAAAATCCATACAGATTTAAATTCCTAAATCGAACGCGCTTAATCAACTGATACGCGTCGTTGTTTGATCATATTTTCATTACTTAAATTGATTTCTTTGGATCTGTCCTTTTCATGTCACTTTAAATCAAGGAAACTAAGAGGTGGTGTTTGCACTCAAAATTCGACAAGAAGAGAAATAGCATTTAATATTTCAGTTTAAGGAGAATGTATGGGAAATTTGGAGATTTTAGTTTTGACAGCGCCAAACCTGGGTGCATATGCCAAAAGTGCTTTGATATTAAACTGATGGGGGTGTGCGATAGACTTTCCTCCACGTGGTGCACCCTGGGAAACGTATACTCATACAACCAAAAAAGTCTATAAACCAGCAGTTGACTTCTGACTTCAAACCACCACCACCCCACTGTGTGCCATTTTCGACTACTTTCTTAGTACTCATCTCACCTTTTTCTACCTTTTCTACCTTCGTCTTTGAAACACTATTCTGTCCCCCCCCCTCAACTTTTTCACTTTGGTGTTCCTTCCCTCTGTGAAGCCTGAAGTCAACTAAAGGGTTAATGGTAACTATCAAAATGTTTACCATTTGATATAAATAAATATTCAACTGATGTCTGTCTAAATGGAGTTGGTTGGTGACTTTTAGTCAACCCAATAAATGCCGATATTCTCAAACAGTTTAGCGTTTGCTTGAATTTCAATATTCATGCATTTCACAAGCCTATTTCATTTCTTTTGGTTGGTTTGAGTTAAGTTTATAGTGATAGTTAGAATTGAATTAACTCAAGGCTGATCAGCTAATTTGCCTCTGCATTTTTTATTTTTCCTAACATTTTTTACCCTTCTTACTGAAAGGTGTTTATTATTTTGTAGACTGGAAAGCCACCAAAGAGGTTTTAAAGGCAGATTTTCACCCTATTAACGGTGTTTTATTTCTTTATTCGCAGTACCAAATTCGATATAGCAGTGTTTGCGCATCTTACCTCGTTAAATTACTTAATCATGATGTGATTTTATGCTAAAATAACTGTTTTTTTGTTGTTTATTCACAAAATCGAAGCTCCAAGCAACTTTCTTATGTTACCACGTGATTCGCTTATATTTTGTGGGAGTAATTTGTGTTTTACGGTGTTTTTAGGGCGCAGTAAAAACAATTGAGTTTTGTAATTCAGGGCATATTTTATTGGTCTAAATAATCACCCCATAATAAGACAGAGGCGGAAAACATTGTCTAGAAGATATTACTCAAAATCTTAAATAGTTGGTCATCACACTAGTTAACCTTTTGGTCTGTCATTCGGCAACACAGGAACTGGGTAAAAAAACTACCTCTTCCTTATCACACCTGTCTCGCAATGTTACTTTCACCTTTGCTGTCACAACACGCATATCCACCTCTCCAAGAGACCATTTTCTCGTTTTTTTTCTATTTCGCCTTCCCAATTCTCTCATTTCTCAGTGGTTGTCCAATGCACTAGTGGCCCAACTCAGTTTACTGATCACCTGATTTTGGGAAAAGTTCAATGAACCCAACTGGCCTTCAAAGATATCCTTAAACTGTTGAACGAAAGATCTGCGTTTAATGCGGTCATACTTTTCAACTGGTTTTGATGCCAGAATTTGTGCTACATTGCAAGAACTTCGAAATGAACCACACGAGCAACCTCGGTAGCCTGTGCAGAAGCATGAAGGGAGGTAGGTTCAACCAAAGTCTCGTCCTTCATTGTGGCCAGATGGTCTCTTCCTACCACTCTTATACTCCTTAATTTATCTTGCTCCACGATTCATCTATTTGAACACTTCTAGACTGTCATGCCACTTTATTGTATCTTACCCTATCTAGGGGTGGCTTTTAATAACTAAAGGCTACCTTTGTGTGTCATCGCATGCCTGCATGCCAGGATTGGGAGGTGCGGCCGTACAACGATGTGTGCAGCGATCGTACAAACAGGTGCGGCCGTACAACGATGTGTGCAGCGATCGTACAAACAGTGACCAATCATTAACCTCTGTTTAACCTAACCCCCCATCCTGATCATGAATAGCTCCCCGCGTGTACACTTTATCCACAATATTTATTTATTTCGAATGACAGGCATTTTGATAGTTATCATTAGCCCTTAGCTGACTTCGAACTTCACAGAGGGGAAAAACATCAAAGTTCAAGAGGGTGGACTGAAGAGTGATTTGCAGATGTAAAAGAGACAGACACAATGATAGAGAGTAGGGTAAGGTGAATACTGTAGAAGTGGTCAACTATGACATACAGTGAGGTCATGGTAGTTTGAAGTGAGAAGTCAACTGCCGGTTAATAGACTTTTTTGCCGTATGAGTATACGTTTCCCAGGGTGCACCACGTGGAGGTAAGTCTATCGCACACCCCTTATCCACAATATACTCACTGAATAAACACGCTACTTGATACACGTCTGTTTCCTTTATAGCTGGGCTATTGCTTAGCTGGTTCTGGGAGTCCAGCCAAATGTTGGAGAATCTGACATAGAGATTTCTGAGTTAGTCAGGCTTTACTAAAGTAGCAATCCGCTACACAGTGTCATCTTCTACTGAAATTCCTATCCAGTTTTATAAAAGAAAATGTTCATTCTACTAAGTTAGAAATAAATGAGTGTTCTTTGATGATAAGTGATAACAGAAGGAAAGAAAAAATGCAGATTACTCAAATTTCAATTTGCAGTTATCTTTATTTATACAGAGTAATAGCATAATATATTAGTGCCCAGAAGCTGAATTTTTGTAAGCAGCATTAATATTTCTAACTGGAACTTCACCACTCCTAATTTTCACTAAGTGATTAATTGGAAATTTCAATTTCATTGCCAAAACAAACCCATCTGCTGAGAATTTTTGCTAAATTACCTATTCTAAGATGGGGTGTGCGATAGACTTACCTCCACGTGGTTCACCCTGGGCAATGTATATTCATAATGAAAAAAGTCTATAAACCGGCTGTTGACGTCTCACTTCAAACTACCATGACCCCACTCTATGCCATATTCCACCACTTCCACAGCGCCAACATCTCACCTTACCTTTTTCCCTACCTTTGTGCCTGTCTCCCTTACATCTGTAAATTACTCTTCTGCTCCCCATCTCGAATTTTTCTCACTTTGATGCTCCACCCCTCTGTGATGTCCGAAGTCAGCTAAAGGGCTAATGAAATCTTTCAAAACGCCTGTCATTTGCTATAATTAAATTGTTCGGAGATTTCTTCTTATCAGCCTTTAACTCAAATAAATCTTACTGATAATGCATTAAGGATCCAAATTTTGAGCCAAATTTGTTTGATTATTTTGAAAAATTTATTATTATTATTATTATTGAATATTTGGCTGTCAATGCAAGTTAGAACGCACGCCCATTTTGGATTGCGTGCATGCCCTTGCTTTCCTAGTACCGATTTCTGCTCTAAGAACGTGCTTGTTGGTCTAGAATAGATTGAGTAGCATTTACAGACGATTAATCACCAAAACAAGTGAAATAAATTCTGCCTTGTGGTTGGTTCGGCCTATACCACGACCGAACAACCTCATTGGAAGAGAAAACGAGCAAATGTTTTTCTTCGAGTATGGTGGAAATCGATAAAGCGAGGGTAATGAAGAACAAAAAGTATAGAAGGTTAGAAGCGTGCAAGCGATCGAAAAATAACACAAGTGAAGGGAAACGAGTTGCGGATAGAGCAGTGTGAGATGCTCGATTTGCGATAGATTGAAAATTTGTGACAGCACAAACGTCTTTGCATGATCATGAAGAAATCAGTATCATCAAATGCAGTCCTCCTCTATCATGATCCCGTACCGCACTTAAAGTTTGTTTTAACCAGCTGAAACGGCGGAAAAACAGTACAGTTCTCAAGTACAATCGGGCATTCTATGGACGTAAATGTGACTAAAGAGAGACGATTAAACCAACTAATAAATTTGATAGTCTTGCCAATAGAATTTTGTCCTAATGCAAACGTTTAAAAGGGAGATTACTTTATATCCTGAATTCAGCGAAAGTCTCAAACTTGGGGGAAACTGAAGATAACCAAAGCAAAAAAAGATAGCACAAAATTCTTAAAAATATTCCCCCTAAATCAGTTAATGGGGTGCGTGATAGACTTACCTCCACGTAGTGCACCCCGGGCAACGTATACTCATACGGCAAAAAGTCTATAAACCGGAAGTTGACTTCTGACATCTAACTACCATGACCCATTGTATGTCATATTCGAACACTTTCACAGTACTCATTTTACCTTTTCTCTGCCTTTATGTCTGTCTGTCTCTTTCACAACTGTGAATCATTATTCAGTCCCTCCTCTCGACTTTGTCACTTTGATGTTCCTCCTCTCTCTCTCTGTGAAGCCCGAAGTCAGCTAAAGGGCTAATGAAATCTATCAAAACGGCTGTCAATTGAAAAGAAACAGTTAATTAAAATGGTTAAATCTGAATAAGCCTGGAATTATTCTCAGTATTCTCATTAGCAAAGATCTCTTGGTTTGGAATGGCTGCCTGAATAAGGTGAGCAACCTCAACGATATAGAGGAAATAGACATATAGCATTTTTTGCCAGTATTCACACAGCAAACATGATTAGTGACTGAAGTAACTTAAAGTGACTTGAATGTGACACTATTAGCTGATCAGATAAAAGGTCTTCTGCACGCACTCCGCGCTCCCAAGAGTGCTCGCGTGAGCATAAGATGGCGCACTCCCCTTCCTCCCCCCACCCCACCCCCTTCCCCCCCTCCAAATCTCTAAGAGGGTAATCAAGACGTGCTTATTTTTACTACGTAATAATGGTCCAATTAGAGTGGTGCAATATTCCCGCTAGTCACAATTTTCCAACCGATAATCCTACGTATTTATTCGTCACATTAAAGCTTAAATAAATAACGAGATAAAGTTAATCTTCCTTTTTTCTTCGCCCCAATCAGGTTAACTCCAAGTGTCGCACTAAATTTCCCGAAATTCATAACCACAGCAATTATCTCCGGAAACATCCTCGACTATAAAACACCTCCCAGAATCTGTTACTCTTCAACCACAGTGTCGAGGAAGCAAGAAGTGTAGGGTGGTTAGCGTTAATTAGAAATTAGAGGTGACTTCAAACGCGGTCTGCAAATAGACTTCTTGACGTAACTTTGAATGAATAGTAGACCGCTAATTAGCCAAGAAGGCTTCTGCACCTACAATTGTGCATGAGCATACACACTACTGGTTTTGAGTGGAATCTTAGTGGCACATGATTTATAGATATGAGTATTCAAAAGTTGAATATATATCTATAAATAACAAATTCTATATGCACAGCAAGGGTGCGCGATAAACTTACCACTACGTGGTGCACCCTGATAAGAGTATACTCATTCGACAAAAGAGTCTATAAACCGGCAGTTGACTTCTGACTTCGAACTACCATCACCCCACGGTGTGTCATATTCCACCACTTCTACAGTACTCACCTCACCTTAACATTTTCACTACCCTCGTGTCTGTCTGTCTTTTCTTACATCTGTGAATCATTCTTCTGTCTCCCTCCCCCCTCTCGAATTTTTGTGACTTTGATGCTCCTCCCCTTTGTGAAGCCGGAAGCCAACAGCCATTTCAACGAATCTGCCTTATTTCCTGTGGAAACTACTTATGAATATCAAACTTAAATGATACATATTTTCGTTGTAGCAATAGCGTACC